AATTGGCCCACGACCTTCCTAGTTTACACACATTGGTCCACAGTCAAATCGAATTTATCATTTGCTCCAATCAAATGACCCCTGTGTAGATGATAAATTACACAATCATCCAATAAGGGAAAAACATTTTTTTAATTCTTATCTTTTAGAGATTGAAAATAAAATATTTCCAGATTAAATGATATGTCTCAAATATGTTATAAAATAATTGAGTGTGGAGTTATACATGAAAAAGATTGTCCATGAGAACAGCTGAAATTCAGCAAGTACACAAGGGCTCATTATACTCCTTTCTCTACTAAGTATGTGCATGTTTGAAATTTCCCAAAAGCAAAATGTTTTTTAAATGATCTTCACAGGAGATGACAATGACATGTTTGTGGTGCCATTGTTGTTCCCTTCCGATATTTTTGCCATTGCTGCTCCTGCTGTTGTTAAGTGCCACTGAGTCAGTTCCGACTCCTAGCAACCCTACAGTTTTCTAGGCTACAGTCTTATCAGGAACAGATCACCAGGTCTTTTCTCCTGTAGAGTAGCCGGTGGGATTTGAACTACCTAACTTCTGGTTAGCAGCCCAGCATTTAACCACTGTGTTCCAGAGGCTCCTCTATTTTTTACCCCCATTGACCTAGTACTAAATTATTACACGTTTATCTAACTAGCAAATAACTTTAAATGAAAGAAATTTAAATTCTCAGAGTACATTTAACCACTTAAAAGTGACTAAAAATATATGTTCTTTCTTCAAGAAATCCCTAATTTCACACACCAATGATAATTAACAAGAATACATACTCTAGTCCCCCTTATTCTCTTTAAACAGAGGTTTTTTCACTCTTATTTCAAACTGTAAATAGTCTAATTGAGAAGTTACAGTAAAGTCCCAGGATAAGATATGAACGTTCTTCAACTGCTATATTTGAAAACATGTCTTGTACTTGATTCTGCTGATAAATTTTCAAGGCTTAACATATTTGTTTCATTTTCCTGCTATAAAGAAAATCTGTAAGTTGATCCAAGTCAGGCCTTTCCACAAACAAATTCTTCTACTTAAAACTCTTGGCTTACAAATACAAAAACAAACAAACAAACCCACTGCTGTCTATTCCATTCCAACTCACAGCTATGTTACAGGACAGGGTAGAGCTGCCCCATAGGGTCTCCAAGGCTGTAATCTTTATGGAAACCACATCTTTCTTCTGTGGAGCAGGTAGTGGGTTGGAACCTATGGACAGTACTCTCAAAAAGCCACAAGAACCATCAATGTGAAAAAACACAAAACTTGTAAAGTTTACTTATTTAATTGTTTCTAGTTTAATAGGAGGTATTTTCTAAAAATCTATTTGGGGAGCATTCTTAACAGCATTTTTAAAAAAAATAATCTTTTAGAATATAACCTCTTTATTTGGAATAAATATCTTTTTATCATCTTTTAATTAAATGATGAACCACTGTTAGGAGAAACAAATTTTACTTGCATAGAGGAACAGACTATATCAGCCAGAGCAACATCATTTTACCCAAGATTTTATGTGATTCAATGAAGTTCTTAAATTCCTATTAATATGCAAAATTTTGTCCATTTTCTCCAAAATACAGAGTACTGAGAAAGCTCTATAATCATACCAATGTGCTAAAATTACTACAAACCATTGTGGTCCTTCAAATCTTTTTACATAAAGCTAATTCTTTTAAAATTCTTCCTTAAAATAAAGTTGGGTTTCTTTATGAAAATAAAACACTGAATATTAAATTAACTTCTGGATATCTATCTTTTTTTACTGATTCACTAAAAAATATATAATATTAATATGCTCTATAAGATAAATATCTCCATTATTAATTTATTTATATTTATTAACTTCTTTTTAATAACTAGTACAGCTAACTTTGTATCTTGGCATTTATTATAAAGAAAAGAGTCTGATATCTATTGAGAAGTTTAATACTATTTCCAACATACACAGTCCAGTAGAATACAATGTATACATATGGTTTAGTATTTTAACAAATAATGTTTGGGGTTTTTTTTCCTCAATTTAACACTCAGCTGATGTAGCAAGGAGGCCTAGTAGCACAGTGGTTAAGCACTCAGCTGCTAACTGAAAGGTCAGTAGTTTGAACACACCTGCAGCTCCATGGGAGAAAGGTGTGGTTTGCTTCCATACAGATTACAGCCTTGGCAACCCTATAAGGCAGTTCTACCATGTCCTCCAGGGTCACTATGAGTTGGATCAACTCGACAGCAATGGGTTTGGGTGACACAGCAAAGCTGTCTTTATTTAAAACAGAGGTGGAGGAGAAGCAACAGCAGCTCTAAGCTCCTCAACTGATTTTAAGAAGTGAGAGACACCACCAAGAAACAAGTGATGCAAATATAATGTAATGTATTAATGCTTGAGAGCTATACAAGAACAAGTACTTAAAATACTAAAACAGATTATAATTTTATCAGGCCATGTAATATGCAAAGCTTCCCATGTTATAAAGATATTTGTGAAAAAAGATGTTATTAATGAACATATACTCATACAAACTTTTCATTTGTTTAAACACTTAAACATAAGATCCTATCTACTAAATTATATTACATAATTAATAAAACATCAATTTTCTGACTTGCATAAAGTAAATGAATGACAACTGAATTAATATACTCTTTCATTCAACAATTACAGAGTGCCTACATTGAGCCCAAGCCCAAGGTACTGGAAACACAAATGTAAATGTCTGTATAGTTTACATTAGACTTTTAGATATACAAAAACTCTCAATGAACTTCAGGATCTCTTTATCTTTGTAGATCTCTGAAATATTATTACAAGCTCCTTCAGGGGAGATACTTGTCTAATTCTTCATCATAGTCTAAAAAATGAGAGATCAAATACATTATAATGAATTATATGTAATGAATAATGTGTAGAATATCATGTCTATAATCACATGTAGTATATATTAGTGGTATCAAGAAAATTAGCTCTTATCAGAAGAAATAATGTTTACTACCCAGTGCTTGACACATACTAGGTATTCAATAAACATATGATGATTAACTATTTAGCTAAATGGAATATCTCAGAAGATGCAGCAAATAGGATTGGAATACCCTAGCCATACCAAAGATTAAATTCTTCCCAACAGAATTATTTCTGAAGCAATCTAGCATATACATATCAGATGCACCAGGAAAAACAGCTACAGCCTCCACGGTCAATTGAAGAAATTAAGACAGAGAAGACAAAGAGGGAAAACAGTTTTCCCAGACTGTAGTGAAAAAAAAAAGAGAAAGAAAAACTCTCCAGCTTCTACCTCACATTTTCAGTCCTAGACAACCAAGCAACCATTAATCCTTTAATTTTTTTTTTTTTTTTTTTTTTTTATGGTCCTGAGCCCACAGGTCCAGTAATTCTCTCCTTCAAGGTGTTTGGAGTCTCTGAGAAATACTCCAACCTTGTCCTCTGTTGCTTAGGTAATGTATGTGGATAATTTTGTAGCACAAGCACATATGTAAGACTATCTTCAGCCAAACCTATCCTTGGTCCTGGGTATATTCCTGTTCATCTATCCCCACCTATCTTCTCAGCTGTCTATGCATTTACCCACAGCCTAGTGTTTCCTGCCACTAGTAATGCAGTATTGTGCATGTAATAGTACTTGCCTCTGTTGTCTGTATCTTTTGTGCACATTTCTGTTTCGTCCTTTTCCCTACTGTCACTGTGCACACACTTTTGTTATATTGCTTTTCCGCTCACCCAAATCAACATTTGACTCTTAACTAGTCAGAAATTTTTACTCCCCTTCCCCTCCATCCCCAATAACAACAAAGTGAATTTCCTTCCCAGCATAAACCTCTCCTTGACTTTTTATAATAATGAACTCATACAATATTTATCCTTCTGTGACTGACTTATTTTACTCAGCATAATGTCCTCCAAATTCATCCACATTATGAGGTGATTTGTGGATTCTTCATTATTCTCTAATGTTGCATAGTATTCCATTGTGGGAATGTACTATAATTTGGGTATCCATTCATCTGCTGATAAACACTTAGGTTGTTTCCATCTCTTTGCTATAGTGAACTGTGCTGAGATGAACATGGGTGTGCATATGTCTATTCATGTCCTGGATTTCACCCTTTAAACTTTAAAACAAGACTCAAGACAAATTTTACACAGAAAAACATTTGCCATACTTTATCTATAAATCCACTACTAATTGAGGTTTTACTAGCTCAGAGTATCCTAACCCTTCAGAGTGTGCAACTACCCAGGTGAAAAGCACAGGTGGTACAAATGAACATTTAAATACTAACAAATATGTGCTACAAAAAGAAGGATCCATGGGAGGAAATGGGAAATGTATTGTTACATTGTGAGGATTGCAATCAATGTCATGTAAAAAATTGTGTATGAATTACTGAATGGAAAACCAATTTGCTCTGTTAACTTTCACTCAAATGATAATAAAAACATTTTTAAAAGGGGGGGAGGGGGGTCCTCGTCTTGGATTTGTTTCCTTCTACTGTTTTCAACTACCAACAGAAATCACCAGATATTTAAGTCAGAAAAAATAAAAATGGGCTAGTAACAGTGGGAAACAGGGGGACAAAACAAAATAAAAAATTAAACTAGGACAATTTTCCTCTAACCCTAGAAAAGTTGAAAGGCTTTTACTAAAAAAGGGAGTTTTTCATTCAATAAAACTTCAGAGTCTTTATAGGGATTTAAACTAAATCATAACTACTCAGATTTTTTCATACAAGGAGAAATTGAGGAAATATGATATGTTTTTGTGTGTTCTAAAGTTGAAAGCACATATCAAAAAGCTTCTGGAATTGAATCTGAGAAAATACTCAGAATCACAGGAATGTCCAATAAGTGAAAACCCATAAAACATTTTTAAACAATAAATGATTACAATCAGTTTGCTAACACTGTCAAATTAAGTAGTATAAACTAAAATGCATATAACAGGAAATAAAATAATTTGATACCTACTTGTGACAAAGAATTTTTTTGTGAAAGTACAGCTATCAAAGGCAGCGATTTTCTCCTGCAAGACCACAACGAGGATCCTAAAATTAAGGGGGAGGGAAAAACAGAGGCCAAAAAGAAAATATGAATGTGAAATTCCATAAATTGATTCATGAATAGTTAAATCAAGAAGAAAACAATTATCTACCAATGTAATTAAAAAACAAAATTCAACATTTCTTAACATATTTAGACTAGGTAAAAAAATACAAACCACAAAACTCTATTTCTGGCAGGATAAGCATGGTTAAAAGCAGAAATGCAATCAAGAGAACCTCACAAAAATTTTACTCTATTTTATTTTCATTTGTTACAGATCAATTAAATCTATTTTATTACAAAGGGATGAGATCAATCAACTATTGGCTATTTACTAAAAGCATTTTTCCAACGAAGCTCAGAGTCATAGAATTAAGTATAAACTAGCTTTTTGTAACCTGTCACTTAAAATGTCTGCTGAATTTAGCAACAGAAGGGAGGAAAAATTATAACAGGTGCTATTCAGTGTAAATGAATTAAGTCCAATTAATTTAATCTATTAAAATTTAATCAAAAATTGGTACAGATTATATTTTTCATAGCACGAATAATTTATAAATTATTGGGAATGTTTACTAAGTGCACTGCTATGATACATACAAAATACTTTTTTTAAAAAGATTAAAATACTGTAACTTGCAGGATGTTAATATAAACAGGCAAGTGTAATAGTTATTTCAAAAAAATCAATTGGAAAATTATAATCATTGTTTAACATAGTAACAGTTTAATTTTCAATATTTGGGGCAGATAAATCTGAACAACAGATCCTAATAATGAGAAAGAAGAAAAAATGTCAACAATCTTCACATGTACAGTTCAGTGACATTAATTATGTCCATCATATTGTTCAACCATCATCCTTTTACATTCCCAAATTACACATGGGAGCTCTGGTAGCATATTGCCTAAGCCACTTGACTGTTAACCAGAAGGCTGGCGATTCAAACGCACCAGCCACTTCTCAGAAGGAAGATGGGAAAATCTACTTCCATAGTGATACCGCCTCGGAAACCTAAGGAGGGGTCACTATGAGTCGGATCCAACTTGATGGCACATAACAACAACAACAAGTTACACATGACCCTTATCAAAAACTGAGTTTCATGTCTTATAATTCACATTTTCATCTATCATGATTTTGAGTTAATTTCTGAAATGTCCAACTGTTACTTATATATTTCCCCTAATAAAAAATACATGAAAGAAAAATGTCATACTTAATATGTATGCTTTGTTAATTTGTTCGTAACAACCACATGTACAAGAGAATGAAATTCTTCCCAGTCCCGAACTATCACCACAACCATTGCTATGATGGAGCCCATCACTGCAGCCACTTTGTCAATCCATCTCATTGAGGGCCTTCCCCTTTTTCACTGACTCCCCACTTTACCAAGCATGATATCCTGTTCGAGGGAATGGTCTGTTCTGACAACATGACCAAAGTAGGTGAGATGAAGTCTGGCCATTCCCACTACTAAAGAGCATTTCAGCTATATTTCTCCAGAACAGATCTGCTCATTCTTCTGGCAGTCCACGGTATTTTCAGTATTCTTTGCCAACACCACATTTCAAAGGCATCAACTCTTCTTTGATCTTACTTATTCACTGTCAGCTTTCACACACATGTTGTTGTTGTTGTTGTAATATGCCATCAAGTCAATTTCAACTCATAGAGATCCCTCCTTGGGTTGCTGAGTCAGTATCACTATGGAAGTAGATTGCCCCATCTTCCTTCCGAGCACATACATGAGGCAACTGAAAATAGCATGGCTTGGGACAGGCACACCTTAGTCTTCGAAGTGATATCTTTGCCTCTTAACACTTCACATACATAGGTCTTTTGCAGCAGATTTGCCAAGATTTGCAATACAACATCTGATTTCTTGACTGCTGCTTCCACGGGTGTTGATTGGAGATCGAAGTAAAATGAAATTTCTGACAAGTTCAATCTTTTCTCCATGTATCATGACGTTGCTTATTGGTCCAGCTGTAAGGATTTTTGTTTTCTTTATGTTGTACAATTCATATTGAAGACTTTGATCTTCATCAGTAAGTGCTTGAAGTCATCTTCACTTTAAGCAAGCAGGGTTGTGTCATCTGCATATCGCAGGCTGTTAATGACTTTTCCTCCAATCCTGATGCCACATTCTTCTTCATATATTCCAACTTCTCAGATTATCTGCTTAGCATACATATTGAATAAGTATGGTGAAAGTATACAACCTTGATGCACACCCTTCCTAATTTTAAACCATGCAGTATCCCCAGGGTTACAGGTGAGGAGAGACAAATCAGGGACGCCCAAAGTAGCAAGCGGGAACAGCAGGAGAAAGGGGATTAAAAGCCAGGAAGCCAGAGAGAAGAGCAATCAGCCGAAGGGATTAGGTGAGGAGAGGCAACTCACGCCCGCCCAGAGTAGCAGTCCAGAAGAGCAGGAGAAAGGGGATAAAAGCCAGGAACCCGGACATAAGAGCAGTCAGCCCCAGGGTTACAGGTGAGGAGAGACAACTCAGGGACGCCCAAAGCAGCAGGCCAGAAGAGCAGGAGAAAGGG